CTTCTGGTGGCCCTCCATGACTCGGGATGTCCGTGAATTCGTTTCCGCCTGTGACACCTGTGCTCGGGCCAAGTCCTCCACTCAGCCGCCCGCTGGCGACCTTCGCCCTCTCCCTGTGCCGAGACGTCCCTGGTCCCATGTCGGCCTTGACTTTGTTACCGGCCTCCCATCCGTGGATGGTCTGGACACCATCCTCACCTTTGTAGACCGATTTCTAAGGCGGTGCACCTGGTCGCTCTGGCCGGCCTCCCTTCCGCCACACGGACGGCCGAGCTCTTCCTGGACCATGTCGTCTGGCTTCACGGATTCCCCAAGGACATAGTCTTCGATCGGGGGCCCCAGTTCACCGCCAGGTGCTGGAAAGCCTTTTGCCACCTGATTGGAGCGTCTCCCAGCCTCTCGTCCGGCTATCACCCTCAGACCAATGGGCAGGTTGAACGGACCAATCAACAGTTGGGGCGCTTCTTGCGGTGCTTCGTCTCCGCTCAACCGTCGCTTTGGCCTCGTTACCTGGTGTGGGCTGAGCTATCTCATAACCTTCACGTCTCTTCTGCCACCGGTCTCTCGCCCTTTGAAGTCTGTCATGGTTTTCATCCTCCCATCTTCAGCCATCAGGAGGCGGGGGTCAACGTGCCTGCTGCTGAACGGATGGTCCACCGCTGTCGTCAGGCCTGGATCAAGGCTGCCATTTCCCGGGCCAACGCTCTGTACACCCGGCAGCATCGTCGCCGCCACTGCCCGGGTCATCCATTCCGGCCGGGGGATCACGTCTGGCTCTCCACGAGGCACCTGCGGCTACGCACCGAGTCCAAGAAGCTTGCTCCCAGGTTCGTTGGCCCGTACGAGATCACTGCCCGGCTCAACCCCGTGACTTATCGTCTCCGGTTTCCACCCGCCATGAGGGTCCATCCGGTTTTCCACGTCTTGCAGCTTAAACGGCGCGTCACTTCCTCGCTGGCGCCCCCCTCCCGGGTCCCGCCCCCGCCCAGGTTCGTCGATGGGGATCCTGTCTACACTGTCCGGCGGATCTTGGACTCCCGTCCCCGGGGTCGGGGGGTCCAGTATTTGGTGGATTGGGCTGGCTACGGTCCTGCAGAGGATGTACTTCCTGAGGCAGCTGAAGAAATTCAACCTGCCAACACGGACGATGATGCAATTCTACACTGCAATCATCGAGTCCATCCTCACCTCCTCCATCACTGTGTGGTACGCTGGAGCCACTATCAGGGACAAACAGAGACTGCAGCGTGTTGTGCGCTCTGCTGAGAAGGTGATTGGCTGCAGACTCCCATCTCTGCAGGACCTGTACACCTCCAGGACACTGGGGCGTGCAGCTCGGATCTCAGCTGACCCTTCTCACCCTGGACACAGTCTGTTTGACCTGCTCCCCTCAGGCAGGAGGCTCCGGTCCATTCGCACCAGAACCTCTCGCCATAAGAACAGTTTCTTCCCCTCTGCTGTTGGACACATGAACAATAACCGTATGACTGTTCCCACCACTAACACATGACCCTACGCTGTGTTCACTGCATCATTCCATGTTTGGCACTGATCACCACCTGCACTCATGTATATATCATGTATATATCTATCCACTTAGCACTTTTAATTCTTATTCTTATTTTTATATTTTTATGACAGTATGTTTGCACTGAAGCACCGCAGCAATTTCCTAATGTTGTAAACCTGCTCAACATTTGGCAATAAACCCTTTCTGATTCTGATTCTGATTCTGATGTGCGCTCCTGGGTGCCGTCCCGCTTCATCTTGGATCCTTCCCTCATCTCAGATTTCCATCGCCGCCGTCCTGGACCGTCGGGTGCCAGTCTTCGGGGGGGGGAGAGGTCCTGTCAGCCGGTGATCAGCTGATCACGGGGCCGGGTTTAAAAGAGACGTCACCTACCTGCTCGCCGCTCAGACACCGTTCTCTTCCTGTCAGGAGCTCCGAAACTTTGCCGACGTCAGTCTCCGCCTGATTCAGCAACCGTGAGTGTTTTTCCCTTCGATCCTTTTTCTCATCCCGGCTCCGCTCGCTTTTCCTCTGTAACGACAGTTCCGAAGCCATGCTTCGTGCGCTGATCTTACTAGAATAACTGCGTGTCTGTTCCAACCCACCGCTAGCCTTCGCCGCGTTTGGGTCTAGCCAGCACGCCACACGGGCACGCCGAACTACTGTGTGTAATTCGCCTGACCGTGACACCTGGATGGCTCTTTTAAACTTGAGATACAGGTCTCCACTGTGGTAAAAAACAGCTTTTGCCAGTTGTGTCACATATCTAAAGCAAAGCCATTCCTTCCTTTAAAGGACCTTGAAAAGCTTGTCCACACATTTATCACATCCAGATTGGACTACTGTAACTCCCTCTACTCGGGCCTCCAACATTCTTCTCTTTACTGGCTTCAGTTAATTCAAAATGCAGCTGCGCATCTTTTAGCAGGTACGAGAATCTATGAACACATAACTCCAATTTTAGCCAAATTACACTGGCTCCCTGTTAAATATCGCATAGATTTTAAAATTCTTTTGTTCACTTTTAAAATTCTGAATAATTTAGCGCCCAGCTTTCTCTCTGAACTACTCCACTTATACAATCCCAAAAGAGCACTTAGATCATCCAATTACATGCTCCTAGCACAACCTAGGTCTCGAATGAAGTCGAGAGGTGACCGGGCCTTTGCATCCGTAGCACCTAGACTCTGGAATAACCTCCCTGTTCATATTTGTACTGCCGAGTCTATCCAGTCTTTTAAATCACGTCTTAAAACTTATCTTTTTACTTTGACCTTTGATTCTAGTTGGCTGGTCTAGCTTATTGTGTTGTTACCTATTGTTTGTTGTCCTGTTTTATTGTTTGTTTTAATTGTCTCATGTTTTTACTGACTGTGAAGCACTATGGTCAACACTGTTGTTTTAATATGTGCTATATAAATAAATTTTGATTTGATTTGGTTTGAACCAGTCTGCATTAATGATGAACTGTATTCAAACTGTACTGAATGTTGACAAATAAAAGTAAAAAAGACAAACAAAAACAATATAAAGTGTCTTACTAGAGTACTGGGCCTTCATGAAGTCTCTGTTACCTACAATGGATTCAGATGCACTTCTTTAAACCAGTCATTCTCAAACTGTGGTACGCGTACCACTGGTAGTACTTCGGCTCTCTCTGGTGGTATGTGGGAAATCTCCAATTTGGACCTTAAAACTGCAAGGCAGCAGACAGCGTTTTGCTGTGGGGACAAAACGCTGATCGTAAAAACACAGCCCTTTTCCGCGGTGCCGTGATCCCAGTCACTATCAATGAGTCTGAGGCCCCGGGGAGAATTGTGGGGGCATGGGAGATGCCATCGGAAATATCGCCTGCATGAAGAAGCTCCTAGTAGCCAGTCTTCTGTCTATGAGCGGTAATCCTTTGAGGTCAGAGGCGGGGAGTTGGCACAGTGAAGCTGGAGGATGAACGCTAACTTTTTTCCACTCCATAAAAGTTAACGTGAGGGTTCCCGATGGTTAGGGACAAATGCAATCGCATGGCAGGAGGTTGTACACAGACCAAACTTCAGTCAGGAGAACAACTGAGATAATCCATCCACAATATAAGGTTAGTCATTAATATACTGCTGCATGGGCTGGGCTGTAGTTACATCGTAAGGTTTTAAAAATTGAGCTTTAAAATGAATAGTGATGATTAAAACCCAGAGAGTGATCACTGACTGATCACAGCCTTAATAAACACAGTAGTTTGGACCTGGAAGCAGGTTTCATCAGGTCATGACTTAAATATTGGATATCCCACCTGCTGTGAATGTTTTAATGCAGTATAGTTGTTATCATTATCATTATGTCACATCCTGTTCATGACAGTTAAAATAAATAACGTTCATATAAGAAATAAAATTGTCTCCTGTAAACTGTTAATAGGCCTATACTACTGTACTTTAATGTCGGTCATAATGGTGGTACTTCAAGAGCCATATATTTTATGAGGTGGTACTCATTGTGAAAAGTTTGAGAACCACAGGTTTAAACAGTTTTGTCCATTAAACAGTCGTTACATGTAACTTGGTGTTTTTTTTAATTTTGCACTGGTTGGTTATTCTAATATTTCCAGCGTTTACTTTTTTTTTTAAAGATCGAAAGAAAAACCACATCCACCACACGCCCATTTCACCGTTTACCTGTTCATCTGGCTAACCTGGCCACACAGCAGCCTCGCCCGGTGTTTTTCCAGTGAGACAATGAGCCTCAGCCTCGACACAAATGTCACCTTTCACTACATAATCCACAGTATCAGTCCTAATCCATGTGTCGTGCCAAGGTAGGTAGGTATAACCACCAGTCGGGAGCGCGCTCAGAAGGGAGAACGGATTCAGTTGACTCCGTCTCCAATCCAACAACTAGACGTGGGAAGTAGTGAGGTTTACTTCAGTGAAAAAGTGAAAGATGAGTGTCGGTACATAATCGATCTGTTTGTTGGTGACAACAGAAAATGCTACATTTATTCTTCTCACGTGTTATCGGACGGGATTATTAAAAAAACGAGGCCTGATAATTATTTGTACCCTGCCTGCAACTTTACTGTATAAAGACGCTAAAACTCCAAAATTCCAAGAGTAATAAGTTAGTATAAGTGTATGTGAACTAAAAATCAAGAATGTGGGATACTGTTTGTCTGTGATTTGGACAGCCCAGTGAGCCCTCCCGACGCAGGGGACACCGGCATTCCTCAGACCGTCCCTCACTCTTTCACCAGTAAAGATATTAAATTGATATTTTCTTGCATGTGCGTGTGTGTATGTCGCTAAAGAGTCCGCGGTCCATCATTATTCAGAGAGGTTCTTACCGTTAATGAGCAGCAGCAGCAGCAACATCATCATCCTCCTTTAAAAACCGCAAAGTCCTGTTAGCAGCTCCCACACACTCCTGCTCCTCCTTCAGCTGTGACTGACAGCAGGCTAGGTTCGGTTTGACAGGAAGTGTCGGCGTGAGGCTGAAGTCTGTGAGGCATGAAGCTGATCCACAGCTCAGCTTCATGCATGAAGGCAGATACGTCCCTGGGCTTCCCGATCTCAAGTAATAGTTTGTTAAAATGCAGGTTTATTCAGGTATCTTTTTGTCACAGTTATCATGACAGGCCACACCTGAAACTCTCCAGTCTCTGACCAAACTACTCTAATCATGAGAACCCATCACAGCTGAGAATCCCTCCGCAGGTCCAGCCGACAGTAACGTCAACGCCTGCGCTGGATTCAACGACTAGCGGGTGTAGTGCAGACCCGGTAAATCAGGTGGAGATTAGCTAGTTTAACCACCTCATTAATAGACAAAAGAAGCCTTTTGAAAGGGGAAACGAGGAGTGCCTGGGTGAGGCGATAAGAGGAGCAGCAGACACTGCTGGCAGACACCACACACCTCTAACACTTTTTCACAGATCCACTTTCTCATCTAAGCCGATTCCACAAACAAATTCATAACGACATTATTAAGAAATCATCACAGACCTTTGATGCTGTAGACATGAAATTATATGAATGTATTAATCATTAGGATCAATATAATCATTATTAATAATATAATCAATAATTGACCACGTCTCTTAAGTTTAATAATACTGACTTTAAAAAACAACAACAACAACAACAACAGTTAATCCATAAGAAATAATGTCAGCTCAGAACTCTGTGCAGTCCAGTCAAATTCTTCCACACCGGACTTTCTCATCCATGACCCTAACGGACCGTGGGCGGATTCGTTGCGCACGTAGCATCCTGGCACGACACCACGCTGACATGTAAGGAGCTCCTGAAAGCGAGCCATTCTTTCACAGATCTTTGTCGAAGCAGTCTGCATGGCTAGGTGCTGACATTATATACTTGTGACTATGAGAGAGATGGAACACCTAAATTTAATGATCTGAATGGGTGAGTGAATGCTTTTTTATGCATGTATGTGTATTTACAGCATGCCATAAAGACGACGAGAGAGGTTAATCTACTTCATGTTCCATATTCGGGGAGTTTTCGTGACATCTAGTGGGCATTTGAAGACACTACAAAATAATCTCTGACTAGTATGAAACAAATACACCACAATCACAAAAAACATGTAAATGGAGAGTGATCACTAAAGTACTGTAAAAATAAAATACTGCAAAATGTAAAGGAAAATATGAATTAAAAGTGGAAGTGGCATGACTATGACTCACTGTGAGACTGTGACAGAATCCAATTAAAATAAACTGCAGCAGGAAACTGTCTGTGCACATCTACAGCTGCATTAAATATTGGCTGTTCAGTGGTGACTTTGATTATTATTTAGCTTTTGTGATGTGAAAGAGTGCATTTATTATTTGCTTTTCTGTAATCTGATATTGGTTTAATAACTGGTTGGTTCAAAGTAGAAATTCAGTAGATGCATAATGTGTTAAATATCTAAAAATTCTTCTTATAACCAGAACAGAGGTGATGAAGAGTGCGGCAGATTAGTGAGATGCCAAAATAGAAAGCTGAAGAAGAGCTTGCATACAAAAATAGTCACACTGCAAAGAGTTTAAAAGGAACCCTTATGGTTCAATAAAAGCAGAAGCTGTGAGGCCAGGACTGGTAAAATGTAAAAGCTGAACAAAGTACTGTAAGCATTCTGTCTCACATATGAATACTTCATTAACATTTTTACTTTTTTTTTTATTCCTGCTGCTTGAAATAAAAAACACACACAAACAAGAAGAACTCAAACTGGACTGATGCTTTATTTCAGACACAGACACAAACATGCATTACAACCCTTTGTGTACACATGTA